GTCGAGTACATGGGAGTCCAGCAACATAGCCATTATGCTAACTGCTGGTACCTTACTTGAGTTTTACGCTGCCTGGTCTGGGACTTGAACCATGGTCAACTACATGGGAGTCCAGTGACATAACCATTATGCCATCTGCTGGTCCTCCAACCAAATATGCATTTTAAAAAAATGTAAATGAGTATTGAATTCTATTTCTATATCTAATGGGATACGTTTTTTCCTTTAATCTTTAACTGTGTAAATGTATTAACAGATTTTTCTAGTGTTAAACCATTCTTGCCTTCCTAGGATAAACTCAACCTGATAATAATGTATCTTTTTCTGGAGAGGTTTTTGTTACAGGGCGTGTGCGCTCACCAGAAGGACAGACAGAGATGAGACAGAAAGCGAGAAATCATCTGCCAGGGGAAATGGCCATGCCGCAATCCCTTCTCCTCCATTCTCCTCTATAGGATCTTGGGCATGCATACACAAGTGCCTGGAGTGAGTTTAAGCCATCGGGTCGGGAACTCAAATTGCAGTCAATTACATGGAAGTCCAGTGAATAGCCATTACACCAACTGCTGGTCCCAATAATGTATCTTTTTTTTTTTTGCTATAGGACACGTGCACTCACCAGACAGAGAGAGACAGACAGAAAGAGAAATCCCCCCTAGGGGGGATGGTCACGCCGCAATCCCTTCTCCTCCATTCTCCTCTCGGGATCTTGGGCACGCACGCACACGCGCCCGGCGTGAGTTTTAAGCCACCGGGTCCGGGACACGAAGGTCGACTACGTGGGAGTCCAGCAACATAGCCATTACGCTAACTGCTGGTCCCCCAATAATGTATCTTTTTTTTTTTGGAGAGGTTTTCGCTACAGGGCACATGCACTCGCCAGACAGAGAGACATAGAGACAGAAAGTGAGAAATCACCCCCCGGGGGGATGGTCACGCTGCAATCCCTTCTCCTCCATTCTCCTCTCGGGATCTTGGGCACGCATGCACACGCGCCCGGCATGAGTTTGAAGCCACCAGGTCCAGGACACGAACCGCGGTCGACTACGTGGGAGTCCAGCGACATAGCCATTATGCTAACTGCTGGTTCCCAATAATGTATCTTTTTTTTAAAAAAAAACGTATTGCTGCCTTCTGATTGCTAATATATATTTTCAAGATTGTTACTATTTTATTTAAGATTTTTAAAATTACATTTGTAAGAGACTGACTTGCAACTTTGTCTCAATTTTAGTATCATAAAATAGACTGACATGTTTTCTCTTTTATTTAGGAATCATTGTATAAGATTTGAATCATCTTTTTCAATTGTCTGCAAATTTCTGGTTCAGAGGGTTTTTAAATATGTGTGAATGTAGGGGCCGGCAGGTAGAGTGGTGGTTAAGGGCTCTGGACTTCCATATGGCTGACCATGGCTTGAATCCTGGACCTGGTGGCTGTTTTTCTCACTTTCCCTTTCTCTTTCTCTGTGTCACTCACTGGTCAAATTAAAACAAATAAAGTTAAATAAAATATTTTTTAAAAAAAGTACATGAAGATAGATTTTAAACTAATTCAACTTCCTCAGTGTAGTTAGATACATTTAAAAATTTCACAACTTCTGGGGCCAGCAGGTGGCCTGGTGGTTAAGGGCGCTGGACTCCCACATGGCAGACCACGGTTGGAGTCCCCGACCCGGTGGCTTGCTTTCTCACTTTCTCTCTCTCCTCACTCTTTGTCAAATTAAAAATAAGTAAATAAATAAATAAAGTTAAATTAAAATTTTTTTTTCACAACTTCTTTGAGTCAGTTTTGGTAAGTTATTTTTTTCTAGAAAGCTGTCCAAAAGCATTCTCAAAAAGGGTGTCCCAGAGACCAGCAGTGAGTGTAATGGCTATGTCACTGGATTCCCAGGCAGTCGACCATGGTTCGAGTCCTGGACCCGGCAGCTTAAACTCACACAGGGTGCATATGCATGAGTGCCCAAGATCCCGAGAGGAGAATGGAGGAAAAGGGATTCTGGCATGGCCATACCCCTGGGGGGTAATTTCTCGCTTTCCGTCTCTCTCTGTATTTCTGCCAAGCGCATGTGCTCTATGGCAAAATCTTCTCAAAAAAAAAAAAAAAAAAGGTGTCCCATTAAATGTCTCTTTTAATCTCTAAAACTGGAGTTATGTCCCTATTTTCACTTCTAAAATTTTCTTAAAGAATTATTTTTTATTTAACTTTATTTATTTATTTTAATTTTACCAGAGAGGGACAGAGTGAGAGAGGGAAAGAAAGAAAGCTAGCCGCCAGGTCTGAGAATCGAACTGTGGTCAGCCATGTGGGAGTCCTGTGCCCTTAACAACCATGTCACCCATTCTTTAATTTTTTCATCTTGTTAAAGTCCCCTCATAGCAGTGCCTCAGGTGTAAGTTTCCTGTCCTAGAAGGTGACAGAGATGTGACAGTGACAGGGACCCAAACAATGGACTGCAGGGAAATCCATAAAGGGAAGCAAGTGGACAGGTGCTGCTGAGGACCAGATAAAATCTCGGCCCATGGCAAGTGGCTCGGTCACCGGCCCTCCTGTTTTTAGAAAATTTTTTTTAGAGATTTCTGCCTTAGGGTGCATGAGTTCACCTGAGAGTGAGAGACAGAGTAAGAGGGAAAATAAGAAATCACCCCCCAGGGGGGATGGCCATGCCATCCAGCGCCTTAGGAAGCACCTAAGGAATGAGAAGAAATCCTAATTGTAATTAAAAGATAATTAAGTGGGGCCGTGGTGGTGGTAGCGGTTAAGGTGCTGGATCCCACATGTTTGGCTGCATATAGTTTGAATCCTAGAACTGGTGACTTGGAAAATCCAGTCAGGCGCATGTGCATGTGTGCCCAAAATCCCATGAGGAAAGTGGAAAAGCCATCCCTACTGGGGGACTTTCTCATATACACCCCCCTCTGGAGAGTGCACGTGCCCTATACCAAACTTAAAAAAAAAAGAAAAGATCATTAGTATTGAGGGACCAGCAGTTGGCATAATGGCTATGTCGCTGGATTCCCATGTAGTCGACAGCAGTTCGAGTCCCAGACTCGGTGGCTTAAACTCACACTGGGGCATGTGTGTGCCCAAGATCCCGAGAGGAAAATGGAGAAGAAGGGAATTGTGGTATGGCCATCCCCCCTGGGGGGGGGTAATTTCTCACTTTCTGTCTCTCTGTCTCTCTCTTTCTGGTGAGCGCATGCGCCTATAGCAAAAACCTCTCAAAAAAAAAAAAAAAGAGAGAAAAAGATAATTAGTATTGAATGATGATAAAAATGCAATGTATAAAACTTGCGGAATGCAGTTAAAGCAATATTTAGAAGGTAATTTACAGGTTTTTTTTTTAAAGTTTGTTTACTATAGGGCACGTGTGCTTGCTGGTAAGTACCATGCCCGAGGGGGATGGCCATACCATCCAGCACCTTAACCACCACCACAGCCCCACTAATTATCTTTTAATTATCATGATGATTTCTTCCTATTTGATTACATGCATTAAAAATTTTCCCCAAAGTAAATTTGCTTTAATTTTATTTTTAATTTGTATTTGAAACTTAATTACTTGTACAGGAAAAATAATTTTTACAGTAATCTGAACATTTTTTTTCAGTAATCTGATCATTTATTTAGATTTTCTTTGTGGCTCGGAAGAGAAAAGTTTCATAACTGTCTCTAAAAATATGCTACTTGTATACTCTTTTGGTATTTAATTTAATTTATTTATTATTATTTTAATTTTACCAGAAAGAGAGAGAGAGCAAAAGTGAGAAAGTGAGTCACTAGGTCCAGGACTCAAACCACAGTTGGCCATATGGGAGTCCAGCACCTTAACTACCACATCATCTGCCAGTCCCAGCTACTTGTATACTTTTTGAAAAACGATATAAATGAAGCTAGGTTGGCTAATATAAAGACCAACAACTGAGAAACTTTAAGATAGCTCTCTGAGGCTAGGGGAATTTAATAATGAAACAGAGAAGTGTTTACAGTTGTTGAAGCATGCGATGCTCTAATAGGAGAAGAAATAGAATAGGGAGATTGGAGAAAATAATATAACACTGAAAAGGAGCTTATTCAGAAAAATTTTGTAGATACGCTCCTCTGAGCTAGGCTTAACTTCTCTGTGCCTCAGTTTCCCAACCTGCAAACTGTACATTTAGGTGTCTACCCTATCAGTGTGTAGTGAAGGTTAAATGAGTTCATCCGCATCTGGTAAGGCTTAGTAAATATTAGTCATTATTATTAGAATGATGACATATGGCATCTACCCCCTGATGCTAGAACTAATGTCTTCAATAAAATCTCCTACTGGTCTGTGGCACAAGTTAAGCTTTAACTTGTTTGTGTCACATCCGTACCTAAAGGGTCAAAGCTAAGAACAGTAACAGAAGCCTGGTTTTCTGTCATATAGATGTTTTTCCTTCCTTCATTTAATCTAGTATTTCCTGAGTGTCCCCGAATGTAAACTACTGCCGCTGGCCCAAACAGCTCTGCGATCCGTTCTGTAGGCTTAGCTACCTCATCCTCCTGTGCAAGGGGTCCCAGATCTCCAGCTCTATGTGCAGGAGGACCCAGCTCTTCCTCAAACACGAGCAGGAGGGATTTTCACCGTCAGGCTGCGGTGCAGATGTGCGGCCCCAGTCTAGGTGTTGTAAGAGGAGCACAGGGCTCCCGATCTCCCGACAGACCTCCCGTGCAAGGAAGCGCCCAGCTCCCCGCCCCGTTCAGAAGGCACCACCCAGAATACGCCGGCTGCACCTTCATCTTCCGCACAAAACAGGCCTGGCGGAGGCTCGGGCGGGGGCAGCTGGGTCCTTGCGCCGGAGCCCACCGGACCGACTCGACCTTGAGCCAGCGCTTACCCTTTGTCTGTTTCCCGCCGCTGTGTCGCCGTTCGCTCGCGGGTCCCTCCACCATAGACATGAGCCCCAGGCCGCGGAGATCGTACCCCACACCCTCCCCTACCCGCGGTAACCTCGGTCCGGCGCACGCGTTCAAATGATCCGGGTCGAGCCGATCGCGCTTCCCATTGGTCACCACCCAGCTCGCTGATTGGTTGTTTCCTAAGTAACAAAGTAGGTGCAGCGAGTCGGCGGGCGCTGTCAACAGTGCGCTTGCGCACTTCCCTTTTTTGCCCGCTGGACGGTTCCGAGGTGGTGTCTCCACCGCTGGACTGGCCGAAGTGGGCGGCAGAAACTACCACCCGACTGCGGTACGGGAGGCCACGGCCGGTCCCTGTGATCCCCGAGGCTGGGCTCATCGCCACTCTCAGCAACCAACATCCAGCAGGCTTTACGGCTGTCTTTTCCGTGGGCTGAGTTGGCATCTGCTTATCCAGAAGAGGATTCTCCGCCGCTGTCCAGCGTCTCTTTCCGCTCCGGAACCATCCCAAGAAAACTTCCAGAACAACTCTGAGGTGGTAAAGCCGGCGGAGGCCAAGAATGGCGATTAGTGCTGAAACTAAAGAAGTCACTTCAACTCCGAGTGGGGCAAGTAGCCTGCTCTTCTTACTCACCTAGGAGAGCATGTGAAAGCCTTCCCAAACCCCAGTATTTCTTCCTTTTTTTTTTTTTTTTTTGAGAAGTTTTTCCTATAGGGTTCGTGCGCTCGCCAGACAGACAGAGACAGAGAGACAGAAAGCAAGAAATCACCCAGGGGGGATGGCCACGCCTCAATCCCCTCTCCTCCATTCTCCTCTCGGGATCTTGGGCACGCATGCACACGCACCGGGCGTGAGTTTAAGTCACTGGGGTCCAGGACTCAAACTGCGGTCGACTACATGGGAGTCCAGCGACATAGCCATTACATTAACTGCTGGTCCCGGGGTTAGCTTTCTATGAACCTGACTAGGACAAAATAGGTAAAGATTTGAGGAACCACTTTCAGTAATCCTGCTCTGTCCCCACAGTGGGACTGTGAGTGGGTCTGGGACATGTAAGACAAGGAGGAAACAAAATCCCCTCATCAGCCCTGCCATCAGGCTAGTAAAGTTACTGTCTAATGCCTGATCGACTGGGCCAAACTCTTCATTCGCCTTCCTCGACTTCTTTTGCCCTCTATACATAGAACAGCACAGCTGGTCTGGTGAGGATAAAACAAGAAAACTATGTGAAGAGGCTGTCATTGTAAAGTTACAAGAAAAGTGGGGTACTTTTGCCATCTCTATTACCCGATAAATAAAACTTTTAAAGGATGCCTTCCAGCTTATGGGCCTTCTCCCCTCTTATGGGGATGTACATTAGCAGAAGTCTGGTGTGTAGTGGAGAGCTTGGGTTCCCCAGAAGTGATCAAAGAAGCAAGTGCCTCTTGTGTCCTGTAAGTCAGATCTTGCCCTGATCCTATTGTGGTTCCATTAGCTGGAGCTGATGTGAGTCAGGGTGAAGCACAGGAGCAGTCTGAATCGGCTGTGAGCAGTGGGAAGGGGACACTTACTTGCTGGATCACCTTGGGTAAGTCACTTAGCATCTCATAGCCTCAATTTCTGAAGCTATAAAATAGGGACTACAATAACACTTTGCTTGTTATAAACATTAGAAATGATGTAGGTTAGTGCCAGCAGATGGTATAGCGGTTACATTGCTGAACTCCCACGTGGCCGACCGTGTTTCAAGCCCTGGCCCCAGTGGCTTGAAAATCACGCTGCATGTCCGAGATCCTGAAGAAGAATAGAGGAGAAGGGATTGTGACATGGCCATTCCCCCTGGGGGTGATTTCTCACTTTCTCTCTCTCTCAGCACGATTGCATAAAGAAAGAAATGATGTAGGCTAAGCACCTTGCAGACATTCAATGAAATGGTAATGGATATTCTCTTATTCATTCATTTGGCAAATATTTACTCCTCATCCCACCCTCATGGGCTTGCAGTCTATGGGCGAAATTAGACCAGTGGGTACTAACAATAGTGCGAGACACAGGCTCTAGATGAGAACAGGCAGGGGTATGCCCTGCAGGGAGTCATATGCTTGCTGTCTGAAGGATGCCGAGGAGCTAGCCTGGAGAAAGGACTGCTCTGGATCTCAGAAGCCAAGGAAAGGTGAAAGAGTTAGCCGTATCAAATGATGCTCAGAGGCGTTGGTAGGGCCCGGCCAGGCCTGCCTTACTGGACACAGGTGGAAAACTCCTTGGCCTTGTACCACAGAGAGAAGGGGATATTGGCCTGGAACTGGCTCAATAAAAATTTCAAAGTGCAGAACCTAGACCTAAGGGACGAATGCACAATATTTTCCTTGTGGAGGCAGGTATTTCTTTTTTAATTTTTAAGAGAGATTTTTGGCATAGGGCTTGTGCACTCACCTGAGAGACAGAGGTGGAAAGCATTACCTGCTGGGAGGATGGTCACACCACAGTCCCTTCTCCATTCTCCTCTCAGGATTTTGGGCACGCATGCACAACCACCTGGTGAGAGTTTTAAGCCACTGGGTCCAGGACTCGAACTGTGGTCAACTACATGGGAGTCCAGTGATTAACCATTACACCATCTGCTGGTCCCTGAAGGTAAGTATTTCTTTCTTTTTTTAAAGAATTGTTTGTTTAATTTTATCTATTCATTCATTTATTTTCATTTGACCAGAGAAAGACACACAGAGAGAAGGAAAGTAAGAAATCAAGCCACCAGGTCTGAGATTCAAACCATGGGTCAGCCATGTGGGAGTGTCCAGCACCTTAACCACCATGCCAACTGCTGGCTCTGTATTTGTTTTGTATTGTTTTTGGAGAGTTTTTTTTTTGTTGTTGTTTGTTTGTTTGTTTTTTGAGAGTTTTTTTTTGCTATAGGGTGTGTGCGCTCGCCAGAAAGAGAGAGACAGAGAGACAGACAGCAAGAAATCACCCCCACAAAGGGGATGGCCATGCTGCAATCCTTTCTCCTCCATTTTCCTCTTGGGATTTTGGGCACACATGCACATGAACCCAGTGTGTATTTCAGGCTAGTGTGTATTTCACATGCCTGGTATGAGTTTCAAGCCTCCAGGTCTGGGACTCAAACTTTGGTGAACCATGTGGGAGTCTAGCAATATAACCATTATGCCATCTGCTGGTCCCTAGGGACTGAGGGGTTTTAAAGAATGAGAGGCCTTCCACCTTTCCCCCCTGATTTTGTTGCTGTTGTTTTTTGTTTTGTGTTGTTTTTGTTTGTTTTGCTATAAGACATGTGCTCACTAGAGAGAGAAAGTGAGAAACCACCCCAAGGAGAATGGCCATATAGCAATCTGTTCTCTTCCCTTCTCTTGGAATTTGGGGCACATATACACATGCACCCAGTGTGTTTTTCAGGCCTCCAGATCCAGGACCCCAACGGCATAGTCAGCCATATGGGATCTAGCTGCCTTAACCTCCATGACATCTGTGGCCTGGGACTTTCAATTTTAAAACCAGGACAGTCCTCTACAAATAGGGACAGGCTAGCACCCCGGTAGAAGGGCATAGGATGCTGATCATCTTCCATGAAGGCAAGAAAGGAGGAGAGGAGAGGAACAGATGAGGCAGTTCGTGGACTTTATTGTTGATGGAGCCTCCCCCTTGTGACTTCTGGCCTCTCTGTGAATTAGGAGATATGATCAGCCATTGGATAGTTAGCTTCACTGGGCCTTCTCCCCTCTTATGGGGATGTACATTAGCAGAAGTCTGGTGTGTAGTGGAGAGCTTGGGTTCCCCAGAAGTGATCAAAGAAGCAAGTGCCTCTTGTGTCCTGTAAGTCAGATCTTGCCCTGATCCTATTGTGGTTCCATTAGCTGGAGCTGATGTGAGTCAGGGTGAAGCACAGGAGCAGTCTGAATCGGCTGTGAGCAGTGGGAAGGGGACACTTACTTGCTGGATCACCTTGGGTAAGTCACTTAGCATCTCATAGCCTCAATTTCTGAAGCTATAAAATAGGGACTACAATAACACTTTGCTTGTTATAAACATTAGAAATGATGTAGGTTAGTGCCAGCAGATGGTATAGCGGTTACATTGCTGAACTCCCACGTGGCCGACCGTGTTTCAAGCCCTGGCCCCAGTGGCTTGAAAATCACGCTGCATGTCCGAGATCCTGAAGAAGAATAGAGGAGAAGGGATTGTGACATGGCCATTCCCCCTGGGGGTGATTTCTCACTTTCTCTCTCTCTCAGCACGATTGCATAAAGAAAGAAATGATGTAGGCTAAGCACCTTGCAGACATTCAATGAAATGGTAATGGATATTCTCTTATTCATTCATTTGGCAAATATTTACTCCTCATCCCACCCTCATGGGCTTGCAGTCTATGGGCGAAATTAGACCAGTGGGTACTAACAATAGTGCGAGACACAGGCTCTAGATGAGAACAGGCAGGGGTATGCCCTGCAGGGAGTCATATGCTTGCTGTCTGAAGGATGCCGAGGAGCTAGCCTGGAGAAAGGACTGCTCTGGATCTCAGAAGCCAAGGAAAGGTGAAAGAGTTAGCCGTATCAAATGATGCTCAGAGGCGTTGGTAGGGCCCGGCCAGGCCTGCCTTACTGGACACAGGTGGAAAACTCCTTGGCCTTGTACCACAGAGAGAAGGGGATATTGGCCTGGAACTGGCTCAATAAAAATTTCAAAGTGCAGAACCTAGACCTAAGGGACGAATGCACAATATTTTCCTTGTGGAGGCAGGTATTTCTTTTTTAATTTTTAAGAGAGATTTTTGGCATAGGGCTTGTGCACTCACCTGAGAGACAGAGGTGGAAAGCATTACCTGCTGGGAGGATGGTCACACCACAGTCCCTTCTCCATTCTCCTCTCAGGATTTTGGGCACGCATGCACAACCACCTGGTGAGAGTTTTAAGCCACTGGGTCCAGGACTCGAACTGTGGTCAACTACATGGGAGTCCAGTGATTAACCATTACACCATCTGCTGGTCCCTGAAGGTAAGTATTTCTTTCTTTTTTTAAAGAATTGTTTGTTTAATTTTATCTATTCATTCATTTGTTTTCATTTGACCAGAGAAAGACACACGGAGAGA